GACATTACAAAGTTCTTGTGTCCACCCTGTGCTCTGTCAACAGACATGTGCCGGGAGTTATAAAGTTCTCACATTCCATGCACAGTCTTGGAACTTATTTATTTGCTTCATTTATACCAGTGTGGTGTGGTGGTTAAGAGCACTAGGCACCAATCTGGAGAACAGGGTTTGATTCCCCACTCCTCCGCATGCGGCCTGCTGGGTGACCTTGAGTCAGTCACAGTTCTCTCAGAACTCTCTCAGCCCCACCTACCTCACAAGGTGCCTGCGGGAGGGAGGGAGAGGAAAGGAAGGCAATTGCAAGCCACTTTGAGACTCCTTAAGGTAGAGAAAGGTAAAGGTTAGGTAAAGGTTCCCTTGCTCGAAAGCCAGTCGAATCCGACTCTAGGGTTGCGGTGCTCATCTCCGTTTCAAAGCCGAAGATCCAGCGCTGTCCGAAGACGTTTCCGTGGTCATGTGGCCGGCATGACTAAACACCAAGGCGCACGGAACGCTGTTCCCTTCCCACCAAAGTGGTATCTATTTATCTACTTGCAATTTCTGGCTTTCAAACTGCTAGGTTGGCAGGAGAAGGTAGAGAAAAGCGGGGCATAAAAACCAACTCTTCTTCTTCCAACTCTTCTTATACCTTGGCTAGTGAGGAGGGGACCCAAAGTAGCTTAGATCATTCTCCTTGCCTCCATTTTATCAGAGCGAAAGAGCGTGACTGGCCCAAGATCACCCAGCAAGCTGCCATGGCAGAGCTGGGATTTGATCTTGGGTCTCCCAGTTCCTAGTCCGACACTCCAACCACTACACCGCACTGACTCTCTTAATTCCCAGGTGTGCATGAGCCCAACTCAGACTGCAGCCACAGCATGTGGGGACAGGGGAATTACTTATATGTAACCCATTCATAGATGTGTAGCGCCCAATGGGGAAAGCAGTGGCTTCCCATAGCTGTTGCAGCTTTGGAAAATAGTGCATGGCGGAAAGCTTAAGCCTCATATCCCCACACGCTGTGGTCCCAATCTGGATCAGGCCGCCACAGGCCTGGGAAATAAGTTCCAAGCGTAGAACTCCCAGAGCGTGAGCCTTTCTGCACCCATCTGTTCCCCCGCAGTTTGTCCACAGCCACATCGGAAGCAGAATCTCCCTCTGCATTGCATCTCACTTTCCTCCTGCATCACAGCTCTTTCCAGATTCTGCATTGTTTTATGACCACTTGGAGGTAACTTTGCAGTCATTACGGCATTGCCCTGGGGTATCTGAAAGTGGTTTCTCCCCGGACCTTTTGCTCTTCAGCTTCCGATTCGGAGAGAATAATATGCAGACTACTTGACACGGCTTTAGTCATCTCTGCCTGTTCCCCCATCCCTATTTCCGCTTCTATTTTGATGCTTCTAGCTTGTGGGGGTGGGGGGGTTGACACACTCCTTTATCCTTTGCACATTGGACCCTAGGGAGGGATCTTTTCCCCCTTCCCCAAAGCCAATCTACACACAACTTGGAGGGGGATGTATTAAAAGGAATAACAGGATTGCCCACTGGAAACAATGGGAGAGACTTGAAGGTCCATTTGTTTTTGTTTTATTTAAAACCCTTGGGACACCACCCCTCCTGACAGACCAGCCAGCCAGCAGCCAAGCTGGCATCCCTCTATGGGCCCTGCATGCCTGGAGTAGCCCAGCGGCAGCTAGCCAAAGGGGGTAGGAGAGCGTGGAGGAGAGGAGAGAAGGCCGCAGTCCTAGTCAAGGACAGCTGGATTTTCCTAGGGCCGGAGATCACCACCAAGTTGTTACTGTAGGGTTGCCAAGTAGTACTCACCTCCGGCGTGGGGGACTCCCGGGTGGATCGTGGAGCGTGCGCGGGTGTGCTTCGCACGTGCACCGCATGCACTTCACTAGGAAGTGACGTTATGACGCCGGGCATACTGGGGGCGGGGGCACGACCATCCAAGGGGAAACCATAGAGTTTCCCCTTGGATGGTCGTGGCCCCGCCCCCAGCGTGCCCGGCGCCATAACGTCACTTCCTAGTGACGTGCACGCCGGGGGTGGGGTTCCCCCTGGGGCCCGATTCTGCGGTGGCGGAAATCGGGCCTCCAAAGCGGGGATTTACCCGCCACCCGCCCCCACTTGGCAGCCCTATGTTACCGGCTGATCTCAGCGTTCTTCTGGGGACATATTGGAGGAGTCGGTTCCAAAGGCACGTGGGTCCCTGACCGCTCAAGGCCTTGAAAGTCAACACTAACACCTTGAATCCAGGCAGTCAAGCCTTTAAGATTAACTTCGTATTTTGTGTCCCTGACCTCTGCGCTATTCTTTTTTGTTCAGTTTATTTTTGTGTATGTATTCTGCATCTACAACCAAAACCCACATTTTTTGCTTAATTGTGGTTAACATCACTTGTGACCAGTGGAGGGGGTGTCCAATTGCCATCGACTTGGGCAAGTGCATGAGCAAGGGATGGGGCACACTGCGCCCTCCCCCTTTCTCAATCCTGGTGGAACTATAACATCACGGCCCCGCGGGATCTGATGCAATTCCACAGGGCCTACGAGGCAGAGATGTTTCGCCAGGTTTTTAGTTGAGGGCAGCAACGGTTAAGACTTGCACCCTCTCTCTTTTTCTTCTTATGACCCCCGCGTGCCCTTCCCTGCCCTTCTGTGCAGATAGCAGTGTAGCCGGCAAAAGGGACCATATCGCCATCTTGGATTGGTTAATTTATCAGTTTACTGTGATAATTTTACATTGATTATATTTTTAATTGCTTTTAAGGTTGTAAAGCACCCAGAACCTACTAGCAGGGTGGGCGATTCATAAGTTGAATTATCATCATCATCATCACCACCATTATTATTTAATTCTCCAGAGTAAGCTACAGTGAGCTGTTAGTGCAGAAAGGACCCGTGTCTGGGCAACAGGACACATGAGGGATATGCAGGGGATGCAAGGACTTTGTAACATATAAATTGGCCCGTTAATAATTAAGGTATTTCTGATCAACTCTTGGGAACTGCAGTTGATTGAGGGTTTACATATTATGTTTTAAGAGGCTTGCTTGGACTCTAGGGAGATATTTGATTTTTGCTTTAAGAAGGCACTCAGCACCTTTAGGGTCGAGCAGACAATCCAGTGAAACGTTATTTGATGCCATCAGCCAGACAGATGAGTCAAGTACATTTCAAGAGCTTCTTTTCATTTGCTTCTTTGACCTCGTTTCCACAGTGGCCACAGATAATAAGAAAGCTAACCCCAAAAAAATCAAATGTGGTATTCCTTTCTTGTTCTTTTCCACCTTTGCAGAACACTGATTTACAGCATGTGTTAAAGCAGCCAGAGCTTGTTATTTGGGGTCATCGTAAAACACACCCAATGGAGATAATTTAAAATGCATAACTTTGCCATCTTCTGGACAGGTTTATTCTCTGCTGGGTATTTATGAACTCAAGAAGTTTTTCTTTTCTCCCTTCTGGCATCATCCTTGTACGTGGAAAATTATCTTTCTGACCATCCGTTTTATGACACATCTCACAAAAGCATGTTCAGGAAGATGGGCAGGCTTTTATTCAGAACATGTTTCTAATCTTGTTTGCAAATGAAGTCAAAAGAAGCTAGTTCTATGAACAGCCAGTGAACTGTTGGAAACATACTTTTAAAAAAATCTGTTGTGTAAATACAGGAATTCCCACCCCCTTTAGGAACATAAGAGAAGCTATGTTGGATCAGGCCAATGGCCCATCCAGTCCAACACTGTGTCACAAAGTGGCCAAAACCCATCGGGTGCCATCAGGAGGTCCACCAGAACGGCCAGAACTCCAGAAGCCCTCCTACAGTTGCCCCCAAGCACCAAGAATACAGAGCTCATAACTGCCCGAGACATCGTGTTCCATCTATACGTTGTGGCTAATATCCACTGATGGACCTCTGCTCCATATGTTTATCCAATCCCCTCTTGAAGCTGTCTGTGCTTGTAGCTGCCACCACTTCCTGTGGCAGTGAATTCCACTTGTTAACTACTCTTTAAGTGAAGAACTACTTCCTTTTATCTGTTATAAGAACATAAGAGAAGCCATGTTGGATCAGGCCAATGGCTTTAATCAGGAACATCTCATGTATCTTAACTGGCCTTTGGTTTCGATGGCGATATGATGACCAACAGGCCTTTGGAAACTTGCAAACCAAAAAATGTATACTGAGCCTAGCCTAACCCCACAGGGTTGTTATGAGGACAAAATGGCAGAGAGGAGAACAATGCAAGTCACTTTTGGTCCCCACTGGGGGGAAAAGACAGGGTATCAATGAAGTAAAATAAAAATTAAAAAATGCCTACCCCTGGGGACGTTCAGACAGGTCTGTGTTAAGTCAGAGGGGTTTATGACAACAGTGCCAACCAACCCCTGCAGTAAAGGGATGCGTCATCATGCACAATCCCTGCAGTAAAGGGATGCGCCTGCATGTTGTGACTCACTGGGCAAAGGCATGAACTCCACCGCTGATGCACTTGTGATCTTGCTGGTGTCCAGCTCTACACGGTGGTATTCATAGATGGCCCGACGCTGGTGTCCTAAAACAGATTAGGAAAGGCATTAAATCCAGAGACGGTTTCACCCCATGTTTTATGGGGTGCAGTCACCTACTAGTTTTTTGCAGAGCAAAGTATTAACATGCATGCAGTCACTGAGCAATTTACACTCTGGCAGGCTGTTTTCTAGCACCTTCCCCCATACTTACTGTTAAGTGGAGAAGGGCAGTGTGGCTGAAGACTGAGCCAGTGCAGTTGTCAGGCAACCATAAATTATTTTTTTCAGGGGTCATTTCGTAGAAAAAGAGGTGCAGGAGCTCATTAGCATAACTTATTTGCATATGCCACACCCCCTGATATCACCGGAAGTGTGTCAGAAGGCAACACCCACTGCTCAGGCTCCACTGGACTGTTTTGGATTGCTAGCTATTGGGAATGTGCAGATCTGTCCTCGCAGAGGAGGGAGAGCTTGTACCTGAATAAAACTTGGTCCTAAAGGTGCCACTGGACTGTTTTGGACCGGAAGGCTGGG